CCGCCCCCGGGGGGGGGGGTGTGATTTCTCGTTTTCTGTCTCTCTGTCTCTGTCTTTCTGGCGAGTACATGTGCTCTCTAGCAAAAACCTCTCCAAAAAAAAAAAAAAAGATAGAGTCATTATGAAGGAAGCCACTCTAGGGCATGAGGAGCAAGGTGCACTCTGTGGGTGCCCAAGCTGGGTCCCTGTGTGGCCTTTGGCGAGTCGCTTTGCTTCTCTAAGGTGGCCTCCTCAAATGAAGGAGTAGGGACGCACACACGATTCCCGAGCTCTCCCTCCCCCAGCGGGATGGTCCTGTTTGTAAGTTACCTCCAAGACTGTCCCTGGCCCCCGCTGCGTGTCTCAGGTCAAAACAGACGTTTTCATGTCTCAGTTCAGAAGCAGTTAACCCCTTGCCCTGGAGCCCTGAACACGCTCCTTTGGGACAAGATGCTGTTGAGGGTTCCCACTCAGCTTTGGAGTCGGGGTCCACTTGGGCTCCCCACCACTGAGCGATTGGCCTTGGGCAGGTTGCCTCAGTTTCTAACTGTAAAAATGGAGACAGTGGGGTGCCAGCAGGTTAAGGCACTGGGCTCCCACATGGCCGATCGTGGTTCAAGCCTCAGACCCAGAGATTTGAAACTCATGCCAGGCATATGTGCATACATACCCCAAATCCCAAGAGAATGGAGGAGAAGGGATTGCAGCATGGCTATATTCCCCCGGGGGATGATTTCTCACTTTCCATCTCTCTGTCTTTTTCTGTCTTTCCAGCAAGCACACGTGCCCTATGGCAAAAAATCTCTCTTAAAAAAAAAGAGAGACAGTGGTCTTGCCCTGGCCTCACTGAGTGGGTGTTGGGGCTGAGCGGGACCCTGTGCGTAAAGCCCTGCACAGCTGGGACACGGAAGCACTGGCTGCATCCCTTAGCTCATCAGCTGCTCAGAGAAGAGGCCACGGTCTTTGGTCCATGGAGACCCTGAAGTGGTACCCACAGAGCCCACAGCAGGCTGCCAGGCTGCTGGCACAGTTAACGCCCAAGGGGATGTGGGGCTTTGCTGTCGGTGTCCAACATGAGCACAGGCTGGGCCTGAATGCCCCAAGGACATGTGTGTGCACGTGCGCACACACGGGCCAGTGCCACCATTGCCAGGCTCCACTTTGCCCACCAGGGAGACCCAGCGAGCCCCAGCAGCCGCTGATGCCCTGAGCACCATCTCCACTGCCAGGCTCTAGTCTGGGAATCAAATACTGATTTTAATGGAAAATAGCAACTATTACTAGACATCCAGTAAATCTAACATTAATAAGGTTATGAGGGGACTTCAGAAAGTTCACAGAAAAATGGAATTAAAGTACAAGTTTATTTTGGTGTTAAAAAAGGAAGAAACAGAAATTCATGCATAGCTTTTTTATAATAAGGATTTTCCATGGACATTTCGAAGATTCCTTCATATTAATAATGATGACAATAAATGAAAAGTGGGAAAGAACATCTGAGATTATACAGGTCTCAGATATGATTTCAAACACATTATCTGGGATATTCTTTTTTTAAAAAGAATTATTAATTTATTTAATTAATTAACTAATTTTAAATTTGACTGGAGAGAGAGTGGGGAAGTGAGAAAGCAAGCCGCCAGGCCCAGGACTGGAACTGCAGTCGGCCATGTGGGAGGCCAGCAACATAAATGCTTCATTATCT